CAAGTCCGGGCTATTTGGGCCCTTTACCACTTGATCATGAAATTTTCAACGGAATATGGCATAAGGGTAGTACAAGGATACCAACGCAGTTCTCAAGAATGCCTCCTCACGGTCATAAAAAGCGGACAAAATGCAGTAAAGTCTGGAGCTAGCACCGCTATGTCAGGATGTTATTCATTCAGCAAGGAGTGTTACAGAGTGAATCCAGGAAGGAAGAACAACCCATGGATCTTGACCTTCTATGTCAATTTCCACTTAGCAGCAAAACAGAGGAACTGGTCCGAAACGAGAAAGAGTCCTCAACAACTATCCAACTTGAAATATCTCTCCAAGGAACGTGGCAAGCTGACGTAATCCCCTTGCTACACGAGTTTTGAGATATATTCGCTTGCCCACCATCTAATATGATTGGGGTTCCTTGACAAATCATTGAACATAAACTGAACGTGGATCCAAACATAAAGCCAATACAACAGAAGAAAAAGATTTTTGTTCGAGATCATAATGATGTCATCAATGAAGAAACACTCAAGTTAGTCCGTGCCAATATTCTTTGATAAATTCTCTAGCCCACAAGGCTCGCCAACCCAGTGCTTGCCCGTAAACTCGACAACTCCTGGCACATGTGCCAAGATTACACTGATCTCAACAAGTATTGCCTCAAGGACTATTATTCCTTACTGGTTATTAATCAAATGGTCGAGGGAATTACCGGATACAGGACTCTCAGCTTCCTCGATGCCTACAAGGGATACCATCAGATACTAATGGCTCGAGAAGATGCAGAGAAGACAACTTATATTATGGAAATCGGGGTGTATTGCTACGATAAGATGCCCTTTGGCTTGACGAATGTAGGAGCCACCTGTTAGCGGTTGGTTAACAGGGCATTCCATGAGCAAATCGGGTGGAACATTGAGATCTACGTGGATGACATGCGGGATGACAACGGTTGGTTAACTGGGCATTCCATAAGGTGGTTGAAGATATGCGGGAAATCATCATGATTCTCCGCAAAATCAACATGAAGTTAAATCCAAAAAAGTGTGCCTTCTGCGTGGGATCGGGAAAATTCCTGGGTTTCCCCGTCTCCAAGGACGGCATAAGTGTAGACTAATGAAAGTCGAAGCAATTCTCTCTATGGAAGCACCCAGAACAGTTAAAGGAGTCTAGAAGCTCATTGGTTCCCCAACAGCCCTAAACAGATTCCTTCCTCAAGCTGCTGAAAGGAGCCTTCCTTTCTTTAAAACGCTGTGAAAATGAAGGAAATTTGAGTGGAACGAAGAGTGTCACAAAGCTTTTAACGATCTGAAGGAACACCCGCAACAACTTCCCATGTTAGCCAAGCTTGATCCATGAGAAGTTCTACACATCTACTTGGTTGCTCGAGAGAAGACCATCTCTGCATTCCTAATCCAGAAGAAAGATGGGAAAGAAGTCCCAATATACTGTGTGAGCAAAGTTCTACAAGGAGCGGAGTCTTGGTATACCCCCATGGAAAAGCTAATACTAAGCTTAGTACTAGCTCCTCGATGGTTGCGTCCTTACTTCCAAGCTCATCCCATCTAAGTTCTAACAGAGCAACCTATCCAACAAGCACTCCACAAACTTGAGACATCCAGTAGAATGATGAAGTGGGCTGTCAAGCTGGGGGAACATCACATTGAGTACAAACGACCAATTGCCATCAAGGGGCAAGCTTTTGCAGACTTCCTCATTGAAATGCCCAGTACTCCAAGCACTTCGCTCGATCCCAAACCTGAGGAGCGAATACAAAAATATATAACAATGGATCCTGGAGCCTGGACACTTTACGTCGATGGCTCATCTTGTGAAGAAGGGGGAGGAGCTGGTATCATCCTAGCAAAGCCAGTAGTAGCGCGTGAAATCGAGAAGATGAAGGAGTATGATGCGGAGTACACGTATGCTTTTCGATTTGGTTTTCCAGCTACCGATAATGTTGCAGAGTATGAAGCAATGATAATAGGGTTGAATATGGCTCATAGGCTTAGAGTCCGAGAACTTGAATTTTTTAGTGACTCCTAAGTGGTTGTCAAACAAATCAACGGGAATTATACCACAAGGGATGAGCATCTCAGAAGATATCTCAAGAAGGTACTCGAGTTGCAGGATAAGTTCGAGAAGTGTTCCATATCCCATATCTTTATATCAAGGAACAAGAGAGCTGATGCGTCAAGCAAGCTGGCTTCATCCAATTTCCCGTATCGTAGTCATAAACTTTTGGTCGAGATTCTCCCTGAACCTAGCATCCAACAAAGTCTAAGGCTAGCCATCACTGAGGACGGAGATACATGCATAACACCATTTATCTAGTTTCAGACCGTAGGTACATTGCCCAGTAACAAATCTGAAGCTTGGGCTCTAAAATTAAAAGCTGTCAAGTATACCTTGAAGGATGGAATTCTTTATAAGCATGAGTACTTGCTACCGGTGCTACGATGTATCGGTCCGTGACAGGCAGCCTATGTCCTTGAGGAAGTTCACAAAGGATAATGCGGTGCTCACATGGAAGTTCGAGGATTGGCCAAAAAGGTCCTCCGAGCAAGCTATTTCTGGCCTACAATTTTTAAAGACGCGTACCAGTTTGTGCAAAAATGCGATAAATGTCAGCGATTCTTTCCAATTACTCGACATCCACAACATGAGATAGTCACTACCCATAGTCCTTGGCCCTTCTACCAATGGGGCACCGACATCATCGACCATTTTCCAAAAGGGGTAGGAGGGTTACGATGGGTTATCATAGTAGTGGATTTTTTTACTAAGTGGGTAGAGGCAAAACCATTGGCCTAGATGTCTGGAAGGAAGGTGGTAATTTTTTTTTGGCAAAATGGAGTTCCCTAAAGTAATTGTATCAAACAATGGCACTCAGTTTCAAAGTGATCCCTTCAAGTCCGGGTGCGCCGAGATGCAAATCGAGCGACGATTCTCTGTCATAGCTCATTCACAAGCCAACGGCCAAGTAGAGTCCGTCAACAGAACTATCTTGTATGGAATCCAGACCAGACTGCACAATGCCAAAGGCGCCTGAGTTAATGAACTTTCCCACGTTCTATGGGCCTATCGCAACAAAGGTCATTCCTCGATAGACGAAACGCCGTTCCGCTTGGTCTACAGAATGGACGTTGTTCTTCTAGTTGAAATCGGCCTTGCAAAACCTCGAACCATCAACTTTGTCGTGGATACAAACAATGAAGACATTGGGACTAACCTTGACCTGCTCGAGGAATGGCGAGATGCTGTAAAAAGCTAAATACAAGGACATTCTCGAAAAGCATTATAACGAGTCAAAAACACGAACTTCGCAGTTGGGAATCTGGTGCTTAGAAAGAACGGAGCTAGTCGAGCAGAAGCTCATGGAAAGCTATCTGCAAAAAGGGAGGGTCCTTATCGAGTCAATGAAACTTCCCCATCTGGTAGTTATTGCCTATAGACAACGGATGACACTGGAATCATCCTTACTTGGTGGTTGAATGTTTAGAACCTTCAAAGGTTCTATGTTTGAGTCTCTATTTCTATTTCCAAATTAAGTGCAATTATTTGCTTTATGTGCTTTGTTGATATTGTTTCTTTATATGTAATGCTAACCCGGGCCCTCGGATAATTATTTAATAAAATTCATTGCATATTTTTTCATAGATATTATTTGCTTGTGTCGACACTATACTTTGACTAGTTTGCGAGATGGACACCCTCTGTAGGGCCATCCTGGAATGGAGCTATGTATTCAACATCCGAACATAAAACCGAGAAACATTCCTCATACTTGCCACAGCTCGTGGTACTATTATAACGAGGAACTCGTATCCAGTTCCCTCGAAAGAGCCATGTACTTTACATACGGCCAAACAAAAAGCACTATATATGTTACTCGAGTATAAAGTAGAGCAATGCCTTGAAGGCTCAGTAATATATTTCATTGTCCTGACACAAAGTGCGGGATTAAAACAAATACTAAGGAAAAGTACATCTATCTTCTCCTATATTACGATAAATTCTTTGCTTGGATTAAAACGAAACAGCATAATAACGCCTGAAAACCCATGGATCTTTAGCTTATTCACTCATTGGTTAAGCTTATCTTACAAATTGAGGATTCCTAGCACCTGCTCATTCATCCTTAGCAGAAATTCCTCCTTAGCAGACCTTGCTTTTGGATTTTCATTTCCCATCAGTCTATCGAGATCCGGGAGAGGGATATCATGGTCAGCCATTAGATTTTGCGGGATGGAGGATTGCTTTGTAAGGAACTCTACCTCTTGTGTCTTCTTTGGCAAATCGATTGCGGCAATGAAACGCTCAGTCCTAGCCTTTATTTGCTGCTCAACTATCGAGAGGATGTGATGTTTCTCCAGAAACCACGGTGACACCGTAATCCCTTGGTCGGTCTTTAATTTGGCATTCTCTTCCTTCAAATTGGCAACCTCGTCAAAGACATTCTTCTCCAAAATCAAAGAGTCTTGGAAGTCCAAATCTTTCTGATGGAGGCGGCGTTACATCTCTTCTTCATTCTCTCTAAGGCTATTCATAAATCGAGCTTGGATCTACACATTGTATGCTTGAATGGTGTCGAGCATATCTTTGTCAAGCTGCTTCACCACCCTGATGTCGTTAATGATTTCCCTTTTCCTCAAGAGGGACAAAATCATCGAATACAGGGGAATTTCTTGCCCTGATTCTCATCCGGAACCATCAAATGGACTCGATGGAAGTATGATTCCTAGCACATGCAGTAAAAATAACCAAGGATTGGAATGGCAAAAATAGATAACTGCCTGAATACTTCCAAAAGAAATTGTTCATGATAGCTCCCTTAAGCAATATTTACAATAAAATCCAAAAGGCCAAAAGGAATTCTATTACAAAGCAAAAATTTGTATAGAGCCTTGTTGGTCAGGAGTCTTCCCTGGATTGTTTTCATTGGTCTCCTCGATAAGCTCCGGCGTTGGTGTTGGCTCAGCAGTCTTCTCAACATCGTTCTAGACCTCAGGTTCCTTGTCCTTAGCTCCCGAGTCCACCTCTTCTGAGGAATCATCCTCAGAGGCTAGCTCAATTCTGATATTACAATCAAACAGCTCTAGCACTCGAAGTTCTTCGCCTGGAAACGAGGTGATTTCTGCAGGAGAACCCATCTTGACAATGGCGCTGCACAAAGAATTGAACAAAGGAAGTTGATCTACAGTGAGGCCTGTAAGCCCGTTTATGATCTCCTCGTGCATGTTGCATCAAGGATTGGGCTTCAAGAACTATTTTAGCCACCCAGAACTGATGGCTCTGCCACTCTCCAGCCTTTTGAGTGCAGCCACTGCAACACCATGACCGCCAAACTCCTTGGCCGCCTCACTTATTTTGAGTATCTCATTGGCCATGCCAATAGAGGGTAGCATCCTGAACCAGAAGGCCACTTCTCTCATCTTTGCCTCCAGCTCATTATACTTTGCCTGTAATGAGGCCATTTCCTTCTCCTTGGCAGCAAGCACCAGCTGTTCTTTCTTCCAAGCATCTTCTTGAGCAGTCTTCTCCTGCTCGATCACTTTATTCGAGGATTCTTCATCCTTCAAGTTCTTCGAGCGAAGTAAAAAGCTTATCATTGTTGTGCTCATCTACAAGACATGGATTTTCATAACGGTAAGTTATCAGTTACAATGAATTCAAGAACGAATCAATGATGGAAGACAATAAAGACTTCCAGCTTTAAGCTGTCTTCCTCGGTCATTCCCGCTGCATTCTCCTCAAGGATAGGGCATTCAATTAAGCTATCTTCCACGGTCCATCCCGCCGGGCAATCTCTCACCCAAAGCTTGTGACAGAGAATCAACAAAAAACTATGACATTGTTAACTACTAATTTAAACAGCGAAAATTTCCTTAATGCAAAAGCTCTTTTTAGGATTCTATACAAGGCAATAGAGGACATTCTAAACTAAAAACATCCCCACTAGTTATCTTCTCGCTTGATCTTTCATTAGCACAGTTCCCTTGCTGACATAATTCACCTACTAACCTATGGTGGGAAAAATGATAGGATGAACTTTAAAGCCCAGTGAATACCTCAGACAACAACTCCCAATCTCTCACACTCCATACAGTAATCGAGTCACATGCACATGCAGATATTCACATAATTCATTTTAGTCATTGTTCGTTTTATACTAAAACTGTCTAAGCAGTTCTATCATTCTAATCTAATTAAATTATAGAATAAATGATCTTCCAGGTGAGTTGTATTTGTAAAAGAACAACCAATCACACTGTGACATATAAAGATGACCTAACCGAGGTCACCACCATATTAACAAGAGGATACAGGTGGATCTTAACTGGAAACTACCAAAGACCTATGTGGTCCTATAGGACATCCTCCAAGTTAGATTCCAAATAGTATTCAAGATTTATCAAGACAAAACCAGATCATCCTTCAGCCCAAGTGGTCACAAAAACAGGTATTTGAAGCTCATGCACACCTACTAAAGCTATCCCTAGTCTATCCATACGTCTGTGCCCATCACTGACCCGTTGGAATCGATCTATGGTAGTGGGGCCCCAAGACTGGTGTGATAATGTACTCATCCAAATCTTCAACAATATCATGACAATTCATGTGCAAGTATTTTCTTTTTACAAGAGAAGTCAAGACAATCGTAACCTCGTTGTGGTAAAGTACACAACCGAATAGAAGAGTCAATCAATTCAATCCAATTAACACGAGTAGTGTAGTCACATTCTTGTAACACAGGTTCAAGTAGTACACAAAACTTGCAATTCAATAAAAAGCACAAGCACAAGTACACAAATATCACTCGCCAATCATGCACTTAGAGGGGAAGACAAGATTACAATATACAACGTGAGAGTAGGTACTCACCTTTAGGCTTGTCAAGTTCAATGACGTTATCTTGAAAATTTGGTAATCAAACGAGTAGTTACATCACTGCCCAATGCTAAAAGAAGTGGTAAGTTGTAGTACTCTATCATCTTGTGTCTAAATTTACTACACATTGCTAACTCTTCACTAGGCCTTCTTAATGCATACGAATACCATGTTGGACAGTAGTAAATAACTTACAAACATCTAGAAGGTAAGACAAAAACCTTCTGACAGATGAGTTTCAGAAAATGAAGTTTCCTAGCCATTAAGTTCCATATGTATTTTTCTAAGGATGGAAATGTTGTTTTCCAAATCTGATAGTTCTACTATACGCTTGAATAACTAAAAGGTTACAGAGATAAAATTCATGTGATGTAAGGATACTTGGTCAAGGAAAACAAAAATTCCAAAGCCCATTCAAGTTCTGAAATTTCAGTAAGTTAGTGATGAAGGTTCATATTCAGAGTATATTTTTTTTATCAAACCAAAGATACGATTTACGAGCCGTCAAAACCATTATAAACTATGGTAAATAAGGAAGAGTTTTGACTGAAGAAGTCAGGAAACATAGTTCTGGACATGGGATAAAACTTGTCTGCAAAATGACACATCAAATCAGTTTATTTCAGAAATTTCAGATTCGGTTAGTCGTGTTCAAACTTGTTTTCCAGCCGTAAAACCAATTTAAAATCCGCAAAAACTGTAATAAACTTCCACCAATATAGAAGACATTCCAAAAAGAAGCTTCATAAAAGAAGTTCAAGCGATGGGAAAACGACGCTCTGAAAACATCCTCTGCAGACACATTTTCAGCGAGTGATATGTCCATTTCAAATCAAGTTTTCGGCTTAACTATAACTCTGTTTTGTAAACCGTAAAACCCATGTTAAACTACTTCAAACAAGGAAGATTTTCATAAAAAAGAACTCCTGGAAACGAATTCCAGAGCTATGAGAAAAAGGCCTGACAACAGGGAGACTGAAATCTGATTTTGTTATATTTTCAGAAAACTATAGTGGCATGCCTTATTTTAATAAGTTTTCTTGGAGACATATAAAGCCACTCTTTAAAATATAAAAAGAAAGAATGAACCTAGAAGTATGGCAGTCAAAAGGCAAAAAAGTTTGGACAGAAGTGACCACCAAACTATGAGATTCAAAGGCTCAATCAAGAGTTTAGAACAAAAGAAATTATTAGATTGAACATTAAACTATAAAGCTACTCGTTAGATAAAAGGCTCAATCTAGAGTTTAGAACAAAGGAAATTATTAGATTGAACATTGATCACAAAGGCTCAATGGAGCAGGGAGCTACTTTGCAGGCAGAAGAGATTCAGGAGCTCCATAGTTTAGCGAAGGATATCACCGACAAGTTGGATAAGCTGATAACGACTTTCACCGATCTTTCACGAGACGTGAGAGATCTATTAACTGAGAAAGCGACCTTACATTTAGGGGATATTCCTCACGGTAATTCCTCACTTTTAGGTTCTCCGAGCGGTACCTCGAGAATAGCGAAGGATGGAGATTGAGTTTTTCGGCAGCCGTGGTATTATCAGCCACGCGTTGAATTACCTGTTTTCAACCACCACCTGCATTGGACCGGTCCATTCACAAGGTCCAGACTCTAACCGACTCTAGAGAGGCGGTGCAAAATACAAAACCTAGTGAGATTCGGACATCTTCTAGGCCTATAAATAGGGATGATTACTCCGTCCTTGAGGTACACAATCTCTAGCTCCAACAATCATATACGCAATACTCCATAACCAGATTATCTTACTTAAGCATCGGAGTGTCTACCATCGTGAGTCCCCCGAGGCCCTCTTTTGCAGGAAACCCTAATCGGAGTTTCACCGTTCAACCAGAGTTATAATTCTAGGCTTCATCAAGTGGCAGGCCCAGTGGGACCCGAGAATTATGGTTTGTGTCACCAAGCTTAAGCTTTTGAAACTTTTTCTCAGCCTTTGATCGCCGCTGTCAGTTAGCCTTCTCTCCTAAATAGGATGGCCGTAATTGATAGACCTAAATCAAGTACAGCGTCAACAGGCAGGCAGCCAAGCCCTGAGGCAGAAGCTAAAAACAAATTGCCGACGGTCGAGGAAAGAAAAAACTCCCACAAGACCATCTAGTCCTAGGGATGAAAGGGAGGAAGATCCAAAAACTCATCGCAAGGGCCTCGATCCACGTGATGAGGAATTATTGGCCGAAATTGAAGCGGAACTCAAAAAGATGAGAGATGATAACAACCTCAATCAGAGGAAGAAAAAGTACATATTGGAGGCATACAAACGTTGTTGTTTGTTGGGTCTGCCCGATCCTACAGACCAGGAGCTACATGACCTGATTGACGAGAAAGAAGCGCGCAGGACACTGACTTTGCTCAAAAAAAAAAAAAGCAAACGCGAACTTCTGGGTGAAGGAGAGGTAGAAGGTCGCAGAGAAGTCTCCAGCCATGAGACTTCCCATGTAGAGTTCTCTGCCACCCCTGGTGCAACCTTCTGGGACTCATTCGGAAGATCATATCCAGCATTCTACACAGCACTCAAGCAATTCGCGAAAGAGAATCGGCGGAAGAAGCAATCTCGCGACCAACACCTCCAAGGTTCACCTAGTGTCGAGTTGTTGTCTGAAAGGAATTGGGATCCCCCACCCATGGCTTCCCCGTAAAGGTCCTATCGCGATCACCATGAAATATATCGAGACACAAGATATCCTTGGTATAGTCGATATCATTATGATGATTCGCAGCCAGAAGAAACCTTGATCCCTCGACGACAAGAGAACCATGGCAACCAAAATGCCTCCATTCGCGAGTCAATGTAGAGAATGATAGGAATGATCGTTGATAAAAGCCCTTTCATTCCAAGGATCCGTGACTGTCCAAAGCCCCGTGACTTCGACTTCCCCAAAGACATTGTCTAATACTCGGGAGATTCTGACCCGCTGCAATTTTTGCACGGATACATCCAAGTCATGAGGATCAGAAATGCATCACTTGATTTCATGGCCAAGGCCCTTCCATCCTATCTCACCGGACAAGCACAACGCTAGTTCGGACAATTGTCATAAGGAAGTATTGTCAGCTTCGAGGATTTATCAGTCAAACTGGTTACTCGATTCTTCCCCAGCAAATAGATTACCAAGATGTCAATCGACCTTTTCTCGATCAAGCAAGGGCAAAACGAAAGTCTGTCTGATTTTCATCGTTACTTCATCTGGGAGACTCTTCAAGTAGATTATCTCGACGACAGAGATGTCCATTACGGGTTCATTCAGGGCCTCAACACATTCCGAAAGTCTACTATCTTGAGGGTGAAATTGTCAACCAAACCACTTTGAAATACACAAGAAATGTAGGCCACAGTTGAAAGTTACATTCAACGGGAACATATGCTTAAACGCTCTCAGGAGTCCTTCTCGATCGCAGGAGATCGTCATGGAAGGGATAGGCTCAAATCTACTACTGAGTTTATGCCTGCTTTACCTAAGCTCAATAGGCAGTTGACCCCGCTACTAAAGACCCGGCGAGAAATACTCCAAATCCACAAGGATTAGTTCCCTATTCCGAAACCCCTGGCTCATAACCCAAATAGGTCCAGGGATCAAGACTGTGAGCATCACAAGGACCACGGCCACGACACTGAAGATTGTGGGGAACTCAAGCGTGAAATCAAAGCCGGGGTGAAATCTGAAAAATTCCAACAATATGTGCAGAATGCTCC